TCTATGTACATTATATAATTATATTATATACAGTCATAACATATAACGACCCGTTTATATCACTTTAACGTTTCCCCATTCTGCGTCGCGAGGATTCTTCGCCATCGACCTCGGCGCGTGAGAGGAGGGGGCCGAATCGGCGCGATCGGGTCGGATCGGCTCAGATCGGCTCGAATCGGTAATACGTCGAAAAAGCGACTCGCGGGTCGGGTCGGGCCGCGGCCCTGTTGCCGGATCTCGCCGCGTCGGCGGCGGGGGCGCCGCGCTCGGCGAGAGGGGAGTCGCGCATGCGCCCGGCGCGGCGGTATCGAGCCGCGGAGGGGAACGACGCCGGCGCGGCGGGCGGTGGCGCGGGGAGGGGGGCGCAGCCCGTGGGCAGTCGGCGTCGCGGCAGGCCCCCGCCGTCCCAGCCACCAGTCGCAATTCCGTCGCCCAGCCGGTATACCGCTCGCCTCCTTTTCGCCCTCTCGACTCGCCTCGAGACATCGCTTGCCCCGCGGTCTCTCGCAGCTGCAGCGTGCACGGCCAGCCGTCGACGCGCACCCACCGAGCCGAGCGAGGGAGACAGAGAGAGATAGAGAGAGAGAGAGGAGACCCGGACAAAGGGGGAGAGAGAGAGAGACTCGCCGGCCCGCGACCTCGCCCGCTTTTACGCGCGCGCCACGGCTTCGCGAGCTTTCCAGGCTTCCCAGGGTTTCCGCGGCGAGCGCCGCCCGCGCCTCCGCCTTCGTTTCCGTCGACGCTCGCCCCAGGAAGAGGAGCGGCTACGCCGGGGAGCGCGCCGAGGGAAGACCGCTCTCTGCTATGCGCCGCCACGGCCGCGGTGACAGTTCCGCGTAACGGAGGGAGAGGGAGCCAGAGGGACGGCGCGCGCGAGCAGGAGCGGCAGATAGGCGCGAGTCGGGTCAGTGCGCGACACGAGGAGCCCGCCGAACGAGGAACGCCGGCCTGCTGGAGAAAACTGGCGACACGCAGAGAGGAGTCGTCGCCGGGCACGAACCTGAGACGGATAGCCGCCCCGAAGAAGAACCCTGGAGAGGACCGGCCACGACCAGCGAACCCTCGCCGAGGTACGCGCCGATCAGTGTTCAAGTGCTCCCGTGGGTACCCACGGGCGGCACACCCTGGTGGTGGGACCGATGTTGGATCTTACCCTACCGGTGAAAAATATGTGGTGTTAAAACGTGCGGGTTCTCGGCTCTCTTTGTGACGACGCGACCGACCTCCCGGGTTATGTAACGGAGCTGCGAGTTCGACGAATCGCCGGCCTGGTTTAACACCTGCTTTTTCACGGGTATGGTAGCGGGATCTTTGGGAAGGCGATGGAGAGTGGACGACGCTGTGTCGATGGTTCGGGGATATTATCCTGTGACCTTGGAGACGCAAGTCTCGTGGCTCTACCGATTTAGCTAGCCGGAAACTCGAGGTTGGTCTCGGGAACGAGACCTCTCGATAATTGGGGGGTGTGTGGATTTTGGGGGGGTGTTGATGTATCTGGTGCGTTGTGCAAAACCGCGAAATGTGTCGACTCCGCGGCTTGGAGACGGCTCCGGAGTTATGTAATGAGGCTTTTCGGGACGTACGAGGTAACTGTGCGCCTTGGAGCTCGTTTTATGTGGTTTTATGGCCGGCTATGGGTGGTCTACGGGGATAGGGTTGCGCACAGGTGGGAACCTGTTGGCGAGCCATTTGTCAATGTTTTAGCGAGTGATGTTTCTTAGTCGATACTTTGGTCGCGACTATCTTGGGCGAATAGAATCCACCGCGTTGCAGGTCGGCACGGATTTCTATGAGAATCGTGAAGTCAACCTAGAGGATATGGTCGAAGCGGAGTTTCTGTGAAACGCTATATCTGGTTAGAGACGATGTTGTGACGATTGCAAAATCAAGGTAGAAACGGTATTTGCCGCGGATTTTGTGAGGATGGTGTTCACGGGACACATTTTCAGAGAATCGCGAAGTCAGTTCAGAAAAGACGGTCGACGTGAATTTTGTGAGAGCCGTGAAGGTTAAAAATGATGCTCGACGGAGATTTTGTGTGACGCTCGTAATCGTAAAGTCAAGTTAGAGTTGGTACTAGGTATATATTTTGTAAGTCGGGTTAGAGTCGAGGTGGGAACCTGTCGCCGCGGTATTTGTTCGTGGGAGTCTTAGCGGCAGCTGTTTCCGAGCAAGCGCGAATTTACGCGATATAAGAAGTATTAATAGTACCTTCCCCCTGACCTTGAGATCAATTGAGCCGCTCGGATACGGCGTCGCGAATTTTATGGCTTTGCCTCGTGTGGCTCTGGCCATTTGCACGGTTAAAAAAGTACAGAGGGCAATGGAGGGAAATTACATGGCAAAACGTGCGTTTAATCGAGCCGTGTCGGACGTCCGAATTGCGGTGTGAAGAGCGGCGGTTCTGTTTTTTCTCTCTTTTTTATTTATTTTTTTTTTTCCCCGGTGACAGAATCACCAGTCACAATTTCCGTCATTACGGGGTAAAACTGGATCGGGTGTGTCGTTCTAGTGGGAACATTTGAAATCTCCCTCGCTTAAGACTGCACCGTGTTGCAGCGGTTCAGGGTCAATGGCTGCTCGGGATTCCAGACAATAGGGAGAACTCCTCTATCGCAATGTCGATTCCGCTTCGATAAGGAAAAGTTGCACGTCGAAACATTCTAAAACGCGTTTGAAAGATAAACTGTAGGGGCGAAAAGGCGGAAATCGTCGATCTAACGTTCGTATTGGACTCCTTTTAATTGTTCTATGGACCATTGTCCGCTACACTGTATGGTATCGCAATTGAACTGTAAAATCCGGCCTCGTGGAACTATATAGGTGAAGTTTGGGTAAAATTTCTGCAATTTCAAATTTAACCAATGGGATCCTCTCGTTCTAACGAGCCGTAAGGCTCACTTGCATTAAGGGAATTCCTATCTCCGATTTCTGTCGGTGCAGTTAATTATCGCACAGTGCAAGAGCAGGAAAAGTGAGACTGCGATAACGAGTCGTCGGTGCCGTGCCTATATTACCGAGGTTACTTATCAATGGGACTGCTTTATCAGGGAGCCTTACGAGCGGGCATTTATCATACAGTGGGAAAGATTAGGCCCGGAGTGCTTTAACAATGAGAGTTTTATCAGGGAGCCTTAACAGTCTCGGGGGTACTTGCCGCCAGGAAAGAAGTACCTGGGCATTAAAAGCGAGGTTACGTCGGAGAAGCCGCAAAAAGTCCACCTACTGCGAGGGCAGCCACTCCTGGTGGGCGACCCTAATCGCTTAAGGGGAAATACGGAAGCGAGGTGATAGCGGACGGCACCGGAAAAAAAAAAAAAAATGTAAAATATGCCTATCGCGTATATTGCCGACCATTAATTCCTTTCCGGAATCTCCTGGTTATTCATAAAAAACAGATGGAACGCGCAGAACATTAAACATCTATTTTCGGGTTAATGATATGTCATTTGCACAGCAGCGACCTCAATGTCTTGCGGGGAAATTCGGAAGCTAAGAGATAGTCGACGTCGTTGGGAAGAGACGCGCTATAAATATTTCCAACGTGTAGGATTTCGGGAAAAATTCGGTATACGACTGAGGTTGTTTAACGTTAAATATTGCCTTTTAAAAAAAGATAGGCACCATCCGGTTCTCCGTATCTTATATCGCGCAGTCTTTTTTCTCGCCTCTCTTTGAATAACTTCTAAAATTACGCGAACCCGCTTCCTCAAAAGCGGTGCATCCTTAAATGTGTATCTTCGAGTTGGGGGGTTAATAATACACAATTCTCGAGAAATTGCCAATCAGAGATCGTGCGCAGTAGCGTCGTATTCTTCCTTATGAATCAGACCGGTTTCTCAGCCAAGGCTGAATCGTTTAGCCACGGCTTAAACAAAGTTCGAGACCGTCCATTGGCGAAGTTGGGGATTACGTCACGTGTTACTGTAACGCTGACTTAAAATTAAAAAGAAAAAAAAAATTAGGTACCAACTACCCATTGGCGATTGCAGCGAAAGAAACTTACATGATGTACACCAATACGAATCGTTTCCGGTATCATTTGTAAGCTTTACAAGTCTCCGCGGTATCATTAGACTTTGTGTTGATTCTGTTTTTTTTTTTTTTTATTTATTTCGTCGCGGCTTGGATTGCTTCGATCAGTGATTTTCCCGGATAGGCTAGGAGACATTTGTTTAACCGTCGCTTTATCAAACGCATTATCAATAAAAATCAAATTCTTTCTTGTTCTTCTTTTATTTTTTATTTTTCTCGAATTTTCTCGTAGTGCCTTTTCGACGATGCTCTTGGTGACGTCGATTCGCTGCACCTCGTCTTTCGCGCCCTGACGAGCAGACCGAGTTGTCGTCGGATTACATTTAGCGGGTTCTTCTATTCCGACTCGCTTGCGATGCTCTAAGCATTATTTCTTACCTTCTGCAACCTGGGTTCACCTTGCTAGTAGGAGAGGTTACGGCCACGTCGGCATGTTGCATTCTGCCGGCGTTTTGTCGCACGCTCGTTAGCACGTCTTCGTAGTTTGCGGCGACGTTTCACCACCGGCAGCGATAGTTGAAACTCTAATATCGATGAAAAAAGAAATCTGGGTTCGAGTACTATCCCCAGGGTACGCCCAGAAATTAAATCGAGCTACTGGCGGAACCTTGGGCGCAGAAAAAAAATCATAAACATAGTGAAAAGGAAGATTTTAACGTTCTTAAGGACTTTAATTTCGTACACTGCCAAAGACTACCCCCAAAAAAATTCTTAGCATAAGTACTCCCCGTCATTTACCCCCGCAAATTATGCAAGCGACTGTGAGAACCGTAAGCCATGGAGAAAAAAATCCTGAAAATGGTCATTTGAATTTTCTTAACGTCGGAGGACCCATTGGAGTGGAAATAATCCAAATTTCCATGGTTTCGGAATTTGTTTATTTTTTTCAACAGCTCTGATTTGGAAAAGGAAAATGCCGAAAGCTAAACTCAACGTGGCACATTTTAATAAGCCTGTTTATTTTGTGCCTCAAACTGGATTCCAGGTTCATACAACCTGTCTGATCCGCGCGAATGGAATTTCCTTATAAATTAATACTTGCACCGAATAAAATGGTTTTCCTTATTTTCCCCCTTGATATCGTCGACCTGCCCAGTCGATTTGGGTTGGCCGATCGCGATTCGTAGGAAGCGATCGATTTCCTCGGGTTTTGTTCCCGACAAAAGTCCATTAACCGATCGAAACGATTGTCCCGGGCCGGCCACTATTTCCCGGTTTCCGGCCTGTGCAACCGGACTGTGAGAAATTTCCGTTGGATCGGATTCACGGGCTGTTTGTTGCCTAGAATTGGCCGATCCAGAGGAAATTGTGTCCGGTTTGTGGGGGGAGACTATTCTGCTACTTTTAAGACTGTATAAATTGGCAGTTAAGGGCCGCTCGGCCGCTTTCGCTTTAACTCAAGCTCTGCTCTTAATGTTCTTTCCGGACGTCTGATTGGCCCTCTTAACACTAGAACGACCGGCAGATTTTTCTTCTTCTATAGGACGAGCCATTTGAAACACGTCATTTCGACCCATCTTGGTAGTCCTAGCGTTAAATACGGAGAGCTTAATTTCTAAGCGGCAGAAACGGCCTTAATTAAATTGTCAACGACCCAATCGAGCTTGCATCTTTTCTCTCTCGTTACTTTTCTATTTTCTTTTTTCTGTTTTTTTTTTTTTTCATTTGTTTAGTGCCGAGACGAGAACGATATGCAAATGATAAATGTAAGTGCTTATGCCAGGCGAAAAATTAAATCCAAGGAGTCCGGGAAGCATTTTAATTTTCAATGTTTTTGCCCCCCTTACGTGCATAACATTATGTAATAACCCGGGCTAAGAATAATGGCACGCGTTTAAAATTCATTATTCGGGGAAACGTGCCTCGACTACCAATTGTTAAGTGTCCCCGTTATTGCGTTTGATCGGCACGTAATTGATCTTGCACGCGGGTAATTGCCCCGGGGTGCATGTAACGCGGTAATTAAATGTGACCTCCTTCATTTCCGCGGAAACATGGCGACCTTAAATACCGCCCTGCTGGCAGCGGCATTTAT